GGCTCTTAGGATAGCATCACTAGGAAAATGAGCTGTAAGCACCCTATCAGATATTTTACTCTCTTTAAGTAAAGATTTATATATAGACATCTAATGCACTTCTGTGGATCCTATATACATTGCTCAAGGGTAAATGAAAATATTAAAGGCAAATCTTACAATGAAACAAACACGCATTACACGAAAATAAAACCTGGCACAGATAAGAAAAAAAAAAGCATTTGGCAAGCACCTGTAATAGGAAATATTGGTCTGATACCCACACAGAAACAGACATAAGTAAACTGCCATAACAACGACTAATATAATATGTTCTCTTCACAGACTTTCTTAGAACATACGTGGTTATACTTCCCTGATCCAGTTGACACCGAAGTTCCTTCTTCAGGCCAGAATTTTGTATGTATTTTCTACTGGTCTTTTCCACATGCCTGGCTTGACCTCTGGTAATAGTATGGTTCCCTTAATACTATTTCTAGTAAATTTCTTGCAGATTATCTCGTTGCTAGACCTTGTTAACAGCAGGAATACATATTTTGTTTGAAAATGTTGTTTAAACGAGACAAATGCAACTTTTTTTAACTCGCAAATCACACTACACAACAATACTCTCTTAAATAATCATAACAATGACTCGGCCCCATTTAACATCTCGTATTAACACTAATTTTAATTACTATTATAAACTAATACACTTTATTTCAGGCTAAACATCATCCCTAACAAAAATAAATTGGAATATATATATATATATATATATATATATATATATATATATATATATATATATTATATATATATATATATATATATATATATATATATATATATATATATATATATATATATATATATAGTGTCGTGCTGAATAGGTAAAACTGGTCACTTAGCAAGAACTCATTTAAAATTAAGTCCTTTCTAAAATTTTCTCTTATATGTTTAAATATATATTTTTTTTCTAAATTTATGTTAATGTAAGAATTAATAATTTGTACCAAAAGAACCTTAAAAACTTAACTAACCTTATTATTAGAAGCGCAATTTAATTTAGCCTAATCCAGTTTAATATATTTTATATAAGTTTACAATTATTTAATAAACACAATGAAATATATTTTTTCGTTAGGTTCAGAATGATTTTTGCGAAATTAATGCATACAAAAATTTTCGCTTGTCTTATTCGGAAAGAACAGCGCAACTATTTAGGACAAAATAGCAAGTTTTACCTATTCGACACACACACAAACACACACACATACACACACACACACACACACACACACACACACACACACACACACACACACACACACACACACACACACACACAATGGTAACTAACACACACACCCTCTCACACACACATACGACAACAGGCCTAGTGTCTAATCGACATGTGCCTAAGATAAAATGGTAACTAACTAACGCACACACACAGTACTCAGTAATGAATAACACTTGGTAATTTCTAGTAGAACAGGGCGAGCAGACAGGTGAAACATAGAATACATAAACTGGTAGGTGGGTGTGGGTAGGTCAAGTGTGAGTCAGGTCAGGCCAGGTAGAGAAGCACTGTAGACTGTGTCAAACGCAGACTCCACATACACTCTCATACACCATAACACACAATCCTACCACTACTTTTCACACACTTAATAAACCCACACTCATATAGTCACACACACACACACACACACACACACACACACACACACACACACACACTACAAAAGGGGGAACTACTCAGGCATGAGGAACTTCCTTCAAGACATTCAGTGGGAGAGGGAACTGACAGGAAAACCAGTACAAGAAATGATGGACTATGTAGCAACAAAATGCAAGGAGGCAGAGGAGAGGTTTGTTCCCAAGGGAAACAGAAATAATGGGAAGAACAGAACGAGTCCTTGGTTCACCCAAAGGTGTAGGGAGGCAAAAACTAGGTGTACTAGAGAATGGAAAAGGTACAGAAGACAGAGAACTCAGGAAAATAAAGAAATCAGCCGAAGAGCCAGAAACGAATATGCACAGATAAGAAGGGAGGCTCAGAGACAATATGAAAATGACATAGCATCAAAAGTAAAGACTGACCCGAAGCTGTTGTACAGCCACATCAGGAGGAAAACAACAGTCAAGGACCAGGTAATCAGACTGAGGAAGGGTGATGGGGAATTCACAAGAAACGACCGAGAGGTATGTCAGGAGCTCAACACAAGATTTAAAGAGGTATTTACAGTGGAAACCAGTAGGACTCCAAGAAATCAGAACAGGGGGGCACACCAGCAAGTGCTGGATGAGGTACATATAACCAAGGAGGAGGTGAAGAAGCTGCTATGCGAACTTGACACCTCAAAGGCGGTGGGACCAGACAACATCTCTCCATGGGTCCTTAAAGAGGGAGCAGAGATATTGTGTGAGCCATTAACAAAGATCTTCAACACATCATTTGAAACTGGGCAACTCCCTGAGGTATGGAAAATGGCAAATGTAGTCCCAATTTTTAAAAAGGGAGACAGACATGAGGCACTAAACTACAGACCTGTATCACTAACGTGTATAGTATGCAAGGTCATGGAGAAGATCATCAGGAGGAGAGTGGTGGGGCACCTGAAAGAAACAAGTGTATAATTGACAACCAGCACGGTTTCAGGGAAGGAAAATCCTGTGTCACAAACCTACTAGAGTTTTATGACAAGGTGACAGAAGTAAGACAAGAGAGAGAGGGGTGGATCGACTGCGTATTTTTGGACTGCAAGAAGGCTTTCGACACAGTTCCTCACAAGAGGTTACTGCAAAAGCTAGAGGACCAGGCACACATAACAGGAAAGGCACTGCAATGGATCAGAGAATATCTGACAGGGAGGCAACAACGAGTCATGGTACGCGACGAGGTGTCAGAGTGGGCGCCTGTGACAAGCGGGGTTCCACAGGGGTCAGTCCTAGGACCTGTGCTGTTCTTGGTATACGTGAACGACATAACGGAAGGGATAGACTCAGAAGTGTCCTTGTTTGCAGACGATGTGAAGTTAATGAGAAGAATCGAATCGGACGAGGATCAGGCAGGACTACAAAGAGATCTGGACAGGCTACAAGCCTGGTCCAGCAACTGGCTCCTTGAATTTAACCCTGCCAAATGCAAAGTCATGAAGATTGGGGAAGGGCAAAGAAGACCGCAGACACAGTATAGTTTAGATGGCCAAAGACTGCAAACCTCACTCAAGGAAAAAGATCTAGGGGTGAGTATAACACCGAGCATATCTCCTGAGGCGCACATCAATCAGATAACTGCTGCAGCATATGGGCGCCTGGCAAACCTACGGATAGCGTTCCGATACCTCAGTAAGGATTCGTTTAAGACTCTGTACACCATCTACGTCAGGCCCATACTGGAGTATGCAGCACCAGTTTGGAATCCACACCTAGTCAAGCACGTCAAGAAATTAGAGAAAGTGCAAAGGTTTGCAACAAGACTAGTCCCAGAGCTACGGGGATTGTCCTATGAAGAAAGGTTGAGGGAAATCGGCCTGACGACACTGGAGGCCAGGAGGGTCAGGGGAGACATGATAACGACATATAAAATACTGCGCAGAATAGACGAGGTGGACAAAGACGGGATGTTCCAGAGATGGGACACAGACACAAGAGGTCACAATTGGAAGTTGAAGACTCAGATGAATCAAAGGGATGTTAGGAAGTATTTCTTCAGTCATAGAGTAGTCAGGCCATGGAATAGCCTAGAAAGTGATGTGGTGGAGGCAGGAACCATACATAGTTTTAAGGCGAGGTATGATAGAGCTCATGGGGCAGGGAGAGAGAGGACCTAGTAGCAATCAGCGAAGAGGCGGGGCCAGGAGCTGTGACTCGACCCCTGCAACCACAAATAGGTGAGTACAAATAGGTGAGTACACACACACACACACACACACACACACACACACGAGAGAGAGAGGGAGGGAGCAGAGGCGCTATGTGTACCCCTAACAACAATATTCAATATATCTATCGAAACAGGGAGATTGCCTGAGGCATGGAAGACAGCAAATGTAGTCCCAATCTTTGAAAAAGGAGACAGACATGAAGTACTAAACTACAGACCAGTGTCACTGACAAGTATAGTATGCAAAATCATGGAGAAAATTATCAGAAGAGTGGTGGAACACCTAGGAAGGAATGATCTCATCATCCTGTGTCACAAACCTACTGGAGTTCTATGACATGGCGACAGCAATAAGACAAGAGAGAGAGGGGTGGGTGGATTGCATATTCTTGGACTGCAAGAAGGCGTTTGACACAGTTCCACACAAGAGATTAGTGCAAAAACTGGAGGACCAAGCAGGGATAGCAGGGAAGGCACTACAATGGATCAGAGAATACTTGTCAGGAAGACAGCAGCGAGTCATGGTACGTGGCGAGGTGTCAGAGTGGGCACCTGTGACCAGCGGGGTCCCACAGGGGTCAGTCCTAGGACCAGTGCTGTTTCTGGTATTTGTAAACGACATGACGGAAGGAATAGACTCTGAGGGGTCCCTGTTTGCAGATGACGTGAAGTTGATAAGAATTCACTCGATCGAAGACCAGGCAAAACTACAAAGGGATCTGGACAGGCTGCAGATCTGGTCCAGCAATTGGCTCATGGGGTTCAATCCCACCAAGTGCAAAGTCATGAAGATTGGGGAAGGGCAAAGAAGACCGCAGACGGAGTACAGTCTAGGGGGCCAGAGACTACAAACCTCACTCAAGGAAGAAAGTTAAACGAGAACTCAGCTGAAGGTGAAAAAACACATGAGAGTCACAGCAATATTAGTTCTTCAGCCTCAGTGTGGTCAGGAAATGGTACAATCTGTACAGCAAAGTAGTAGAGGCAGGAAATATAAGAAGCTCTAAGAAACAGTATGACAAGGATCGCTGAATAAAATTAACTCAGAGGCCAGTTTGAGGTGGGGTCGGAAACTGAGACTTCACCTTTGTAACAATAAAAAGCATACAAGTAAGTATGCACAAACCTCAAGAACTGACGTAGATTCCGTCCTCCAACTGTTCACAGTACTGGGCAATCTCATCGAAGACGCAGGTCTTCAATGTTTTCTCGCTGCAACACTCATCATAAACGTTAGTGCTGCTTGTATTGTCTGTCGTATCTGAGTTACGGCGGCGACGGTTGTAGTTCTGGGTCTTTATAAACGTATGGGCGGCCTCGCGACTCACTGTCATCGCCTCCTGCTTACCCAACTGCAACACATAAGTAACAAAATTAGCTAAGATGTATTTTGGTAGCTGCGCGATCCTAGAAAGGTATTCCTGCGTTCCGTAATTACTGTCCCATTCTTAATATAAGGAAGGAGCTTGGTATTTCTTGTATAAGTGATAGGGTTGTTGAGATTAACACTGTACTCGGTATTAGAATTTTAAGAAATGAACCAGATACTGTCACAATGAATCTTACTAAATGTCTAGAATACACGCATATCTAAATGGATTGTGAAAACATGTATCACTGTAGGCAACAAGAGCATTTCACCCCACCATGGAAGATGTGTTCATTTAATATCACATACCTGCAAGTCCCTCCCAAGAAGCTCATTGCTAGTAATCCCTTCCTTAAATCACTTATTAAAGCCACTGCTCAAGAAGAAATTTCTCGCCTAACTGGTTGTAATATATTATCACAAGTTAAATACACTGATGGATCTAAACAGGAGTCTTCTGGCAGGGCTGCATCTGCTCTTGTTGCCACCTCCCTAGTTGAGAACGATAATAAATTTGTTGAACTAGGCATAAGAATTAAAAACCGGGCGTCTGCACTGCAAACTGAATTGCTTGCAATCCTAATGGTGCTAAAGCTTACTTATGACACTGAGCTTGACTCTATCATCATTACTGATTCTATGTCATCACTGAATGCTCTTCACTCATATAATGACTTCAACAACATACTCACTGGAGAAGCCAGGTACAGATACTCAAAAATCCGGGACAAGGGAATTAATGTACAATTGCTATGGATCCCATCACACATTGAATTACTCCTTCATGATAAGTTGATATGTTAGCCAAGAAGAGCACCCTGAAGGAGAATGTAGAATATAACTTTGGTATATCTGTGTCTAGCATTAGGAATAATATTAGGGAGAAGTAAATAATGAAAATGAATGTTATAGGAATGCAGTTAGAAGCCTGAGTAGATCTATAACCCACTATGATAACATGAACATAAATAAGTATGTTTATGGAGCAACGTGCAATGTGAACAGACTGATGTTGTAGTGGCATTAGAACTGGACAAGATTCCAATGCTCTATTTATTCATGTAAGAGATTTTAACCATCCAATTGATTTTCAAAATGTTGAGAAAGTAGTATCAAGCAAGTCCATGGTCGACAGGAATATAATTGAATCTTGTTTCATAAAAAGCAGTTTTGACAATAATATGAATATTTCCTCTGGTTTATATAAATTAGATCCATTTATAGTTAATAGAATTTGGGAAGAAATTAATAATACACTGGACAAATAATAATTTTTAAAATTTTCTTGGGTAGAATAGTTTGTTGGAGGGTTGTGCAAAGGACCTGTCCAGTTGGGCTGGCGTGCGTCAGGTGTTTAACCGTTGTGGGATCTGATAGTGAGGTGTTGGCCAGACCCCTTATATACCTTCCTTGGATGCTTTACTTTCATAGTTTCTTGATAATGTGAGTAGTCACGAAAGCGCTTGGAATTTCTCTATTCTTTCAGAGTGGTTGTTTTGCATATATATATATATATATATATATATATATATATATATATATATAATATATATATATATATATATATATATTATATATATATATATATATATACCATTAGTTGACTTGTATTTTGCTAGGAGGGAAAGATGACGTTTCCTGAAGTATGACATTCTATAACCGGTTGATCCTTGATGGATAATGTGATTCATTACGTGGTAAGGGAGACAAATCAGTCTGTATTAGACAAAACTTTTAAGTGTTACACAGGCGTCTTTACTCCAGTCTGTTGATATTGCTATTCCTTGTACTTGTACTACCTTTCTTACGGAATTTTTTTTTAAATTCTAAATGGAATATTTGGGCTAATGTTTACCAAGGAAATATAATACAAAAAAGGGGTATATACGGCTCTGTGGGCGAAACGTGTTGTCAATGTGCACTTACAAGTTATGTGAAGCTCAAAACAAATGTACAACGACTGCTCAGCAATGGTTTGTTGTATCTTATTAAAGCATAATTCTAAATTAGCAACACTAACTATCGTACTCACCCTGGCATCAGGGACAGTAAACTTGACACCCAACTTCCTGCCTCTTGGATGGTATACTTGACGAACAGCAATCTTACTCCCGGGGTCATACATGGAGACACTGGCAGAAAATGATGCATCTCTGGCCGACCTCACCGCTGAAAAGACAAACCAGTATATAATTCCAAGAATCTTATTTTCGGGTCCAGGAAGGAACTCTCTTATGTTTAAAAACCTAAAGGTTGAACATAGATCGAGGCACCAAGTCACATAAACCCAAACATCACGAATGTTTTACTTCTTAAACTGGGTTTAAGGTAAACTATCAGTATTATTATATTAACGATACACAATACGCCAAGCTGATTAGTAAGACACTTGGGTATCTTTATTATCGAATGTTTTGCCAGTACAACAGACTTATAAAAACATAAGAATAGAAGAACACTGCATAAGGCCTACTGGCCCATACAAGGCAAGTCCTTATTAAAACCACCACTACCTAAAGTTACCTAAGAATTTACTCCCGTACCCACGACACCAATCAAACCCAGCCTCTCCCAATCATATATATGTTCAGTCTCTTTTCAAAGCCACCCGAGGTCCTAGCCTCTATCACCCTACTCGGAAAATTTTTCCAGGCCACGAGTCCTGGTCAGACCCGCGGGGGCGTTGACCCTCGGAATCCTCCAAGTAAATTCCAGATAAACGCATCCACAACGTAGTTCGAAAACCAGTACTTACCTATGTCTTTTCTCAATCTAAATTTATCCAACTTAAATCCATTATTTCTGGTTCTTACCTGGTTCGACATCATCAGTACTTTATTAATATCAATTTTGTTTATGTCCATCATCCACTTATACCTAGTAATCTGTTAGCCTTATTGCGCACACTTAGGCACTGCTGTCTTGAGTTTGTTTCTGCTTACCATGACTCCCAAGTCCTTTTCACATTCTGTATGATCAAGCTCTACTTCACCTAATTTATAACTTCGAGGGTTATTTTTATTCTCAAGGACTAGGACTTTACACTTGTCCACATTGAATTTCAACTGCCATTTTTCAGACCAAGACATTAATTTGTCAAAATCCTCCTGGAGTTCACTGATATCCTCCTCAGAATGAATCATACGGCCTATTTTTGTTTCATCAGCAAATTTGCTCATGTCACTTGTAATTCCTTCATCAAGGTCATTAATGTAAATTATGAACAACAGAGGGCCTAAAACTTATCCTTGTGGAACGCCACTAGTGACTAATCCCCATTTAGATGTGACTCCATTAATGGAAACTGCTTTCTGTTGGTAAGTCATGCCTCTATCCATGTTAGAACTTTACCTTCTATACCATGAGTTGCCACTTTCCTTAAGAGTCTCTTGTGAGGTACTCTATCAAAGGCTTTACTAAATTCCAGATAAACAATATCATATTCTTTATCACTGTCTACTGCCTAAAATGTTCTTATGAAGAACGTCAGTAAATTTGTCAGGCAGGAACGACCTCTTGTGAACCCATGCTGAGATTCTTCAAGGCGACTTCTAATATCAGCTATAAATGATTCTAATAATTTGCCTACTATAGACGGTAATTTGATGGAATGGACTTATCCCTTGATTTGAATATAGGAACTACAGTAGCTGGCACAACACCAATTAGGATGGACGCATTAAACACACTCGTTAATGGCTGACTAAGTTCCATCTTGCATTCTTTAAGTACCCTGGAAAACAACTCGTCGGGTCCCTGGGACTTATTTTGTTTCAGTTTATCTATCTATCCGAATACAGACGACTTTCACAGTGAACACAATAGAAGAAGTATAGAGGTAATTTTAAGGCGTTTAGCTCCATACATTTGATGAGTTTATGTTCACTGGCTATTTAGCTACGACTGAGCACCTTCTATGAAGGCTAAGGAACTGAACACCTATCAACTCATAAGTCAACCTTAAGATCAACTCTCCATTTCTTCAAGTCTTCTCTCTTCACTCTCAGAGGAGCAGAAGCATCACGAATGTGGCGGGATGAATGTCTGTCCTTTCATTTGTGATGAATAATTTCAGTAACTTTTTTTACAGTATGTTCCCTGCATTTCTTTCATATATTGTCACTTAGGAAATTCAACATTTCACTACCAGTTCCAACTCGTTGTCATGTTCGCATTTTGTTACTTTCGTGAAAACATTTTAGTAGAGAATTTTGAATCTTGGATTTTTAAGTTTATTATGTGAAATTTTCCACCACTGTAAATTTATTTAAAAATTAGACACACGTGCAACATCTGGGTATCTTTACTGTAGACGTTTCCCCATCCAGTGGCTTTATCAATACAAATTATAGGACATAACTTGAAGACAGTAGAACTGTATACAAAAATATGAGGTAATCAATCCTTCAGCCTTGGAATTGGTGTGAAGAGCACCGTGTCGTAAACATTTTGGAGCACAGGCAAGAAGGCTGGCGCTTATATACTGGCGTTAAGTGGAACTGAACGGGTAGCAGACGAGGGCATAGTCACTGGTCGGCGGGATTCCTCAGCGGAAGTAGCTCATACCCAAGAATTATGGTAGTAGTAGTATAGTAGTAATAGCCGTGAAGAAGGTTATGAAGCTGTCCTCTGAACCAAGATGCCGTGATGTTGCAGTGACCGACATTATGGAATCTTGGTTCAGAGGACGTCTACATAACCTTCTTCACGGCTGGTACAACTACTACTATCATTACAACTACTACTACCATTAACCCATCCCTTGGGCATGACCTACTTCCACTGGGGACTCCTGCCTACCAGTGACTAAGCCCTCGTCTGCTAGCCGTCCCTGTCTTCCCTGTCTTCAGATTTTGTCCTAGAATTTGTATTCATAAAGCCACTGGATGGTAAAACGTCGACAATAAAGATATCCAGATATTGCACATGCTTCTAATTTTCGTCTTGTCGGTATTGTATACCATTCATGTACAAGTTTCAGTAAACATATTCTGTGATCTGTGTTTCATGATGCTTCTGAGGTCTCTCTTAAACAGGTCCGGAACTAGTATTGTTGGGCAGAGTGAAGACATGACCGGGGCAGAGTTACCACTTTTTCACATGCAGTTGATTCATACTTATCTTTATTTAAAATCATTATATTTTACTTAGTTCAAATAAATATAGGGGAAATTTAATTTTAGGTAAGGATACCTAGCAATTGCAGAGCATCTTATTAAAAATCGTGATTATTTTAAATTTCAGCAAATATAATCATATAAAGGACGATTTTTTATAAAAAGTATGATACAGAGTAGACTTGTTTCATGTACACTTCATGCTGGTATCCGTATACCAAACATTAATTTAGTTTACAATGAATGAACTAATAATGCCGAACTTGCCAAGTAGGCCGAACTTTCTTAAAAATTAAACATTTCAGATTTTTTTTTCTTACAGACTGATGGCTAATTTTTTATTACTAACAACTTGCTTAGAAACCTCAGATCATCTCCCTAAAACTAACATTTTTTATGCCAAATTCTTATATATATATATATATATATATATATATATATATATATATATATATATATTATATATATATATATATATATATATATATATATATAATATCAGGCAGGGAAGGGTAGAATGGATGGACGGCATATTCAGGCTATAAGATGGTCTTTAAAATTGTTTCCAAACAAGCTTAAAAGTGGATTGTATGACTGGTAAGATGTTTTTGTCAAATAGGGAAGGACGTACATATGCGAGAAGCATCAAGCTGAGTCTCATATTGGTCACTTCTTGAATACGTTCTGTATCTCACATACGCAATTGAAAAATCTGGGATATTAGGAACACTCGAGTAAATATCTGTGGATGTTACAAAACTAAACGAAAATATTTATAGTTCATTACTTTAAGCTGCTTCAAGAATTAAAAGATAGAGAAGTGACCCAACATATCACCACAAGGTAGAGGAGTGACCCAACATATCACCACAAGGCAGAGCAGTGACTCAACATATCACCACAAGGTAGGGGAGTGACCCAACATATCACCACAAGGTAGAGGAGTGACCCAACATATCACCACAAGGCAGAGAAGTGACTCAACATATCACCACAAGGTAGGGGAGTGACCCAACATATCACCACAAGGTAGAGGAGTGACCCAACATATCACCACAAGGCAGAGAAGTGACTCAACATATCACCACAAGGTAGGGGAGTGACCCAACATATCACCACAAGGTAGAGTGACCCAACATATCACCACAAGGTAGAGAAGTGACCCAACATATCGCCACAAGGTAGAGGAGTGACCCAACATATCACCACAAGACAGAGAAGTGACTCAACATATCACCACAAGGTTGGTAGGTAAGACACATAGGCAACAGTTAGGCAACTTTATTCCGAAACGTTTCGCCTACACAGTAGGCTTCTTCAGTCGAATACAGAAAGTAGGCAGGAACAGTAGAGATGTGAAGACGATGTAATCAGTCCATCACCCTTGAAGTCGTAGAATTTGAGGTTGTCAGTCCCTCGGCCTGGAGAAGTTCAGTTCCATAGTCAGGAACTATCTGAAGATCAAGCGACAGTGCGGAGACTTAAATACTGTCGGAAGGAGAGGTGCAGAGTAGTAGTAGTAGTAGTGAGAGTGTAGCCACTGAGAGGTCAGGTCCCTCTCAGATCCAACAGAAAACTCCTTAGACAACCGTTTCAAGTGAGAACTGTTGGATCTGAGAGGGACTCTAACCGTTTCTCCCGCTTTTGCATTTAGGTCCCCTACCACAATTACTCTCTTGCTTTGTTCAAAAGTTCCTAAACACTCGCTTATCTTCCAAAATCTCTCTCCTCTACACTGCTCTCTTCTCCAGGTGCTTACACCCATATTATGATCTTTTTGCATCCGACCCTTATTTTAATCAACATGATCCTTGAATTTATATTTATATTCCCTCTTCACCTTCCATAACTGATCCTTGAACATTATTGTAACCCCTTCCTTAGCTCTCTCTCAGATACTCCTGACTTAATCCCATTTATTTGACCCTACTCAAACTCTCCTTCCCCTTTCAATTTTGTTTCGCTTAGAGCTAGGACATCCACTTCTTTTCATTCATAATATTGACAAACATCTCATTTTTTATCATCTTCATTACATCTATGCACATTTAAACATATTTTTCTTATTTTTAGTAATTTATACAAGAGAAGGTTACTAACCTATTTTTCCCAACATTTTAGTCTCCTCTTACGACACTCATGGCTTACGGAGGAAACATTCTTTTCCACTTCCCCATGGAGATGAATCGAAATAAAAAGAACAAGAACTATTTAGAAAAACAGAAGAAAACTCAGATCGGTGTGTGTACGTACACGTGTACATGTATACGCAGTGTGTCCAAGTAGAAGCAGCAAGATGTACATGTTTTCCTACGTGTTTATTAGACAAAGAAAAAGACACCAGCATATATATACTGAGAGAACGGCACCTTTGGGTGTATATATTTTATGTAGAAGCCACAAGACTGGTTCTAGTATTTAATAAGCCGAGATGATCACAACACGAAATAATCAAAGACGTTAATGCAGTTGATAGGGATAAACTGACATGAGACAGAATACAACGACAATAAAAAAAAAAAAATAGAAAAATAAAAAATTAAAAAAATTTTTTAATTAAGTCTAGGGTTATTAGGCAACTAGGGTTAAAAATCCCAGCACATCTTATCTTACCAGTCACGACTTGGTCTCTGAACAATTATCCGTTTGCTAAAGAGTTGAATTTCAAATCCCTCAAGATGCAACTAAGTAAATGTGAGTATATACACATACACACCTCGGGTGTCGTTAAATTCCTGGTAGGTGCGGCAAATACTGTCCATTGTGTCCGCCAGGTGGCCACAGTCGAAGTCAATCAGAAGGTTTTCCACTCTGTAAGAGGCGGAGGGAGGAGGCAGCTTCACCACCACAACCAAAATCTGCAACATTATTATTATTATTATTATTATTAATTATTATTATTATTATTATTATTATTCAACACACTGGCCGTTTCCCACAAATATAGGGTTACCCAGTTAGTTTAATATGTTTATTATGCACCCCATACCCATCTTGTAGCCGGAAGTCAAAAGATTACAGAGGTACATAATGGGTCCAGGAACTTGGCCCACAAAGTTTTGATAGCTGAACGAAGTACAAAGGTAATGAACTCACAAGTTACAAAGGTAATGAATCATGTAAGTATATTTACTTACGTTCACACATGGCTACAATCATAAACAAATTATAGAGAAATGAGCAATTCACACGTCCACACCCGGTCACAACTATGAGTTATTGGTGCAATATTAATTGTTGGGTCACACACACACTCAAATAAGTGAGTACACACACACACACAAGTATACAAGAGTATACAAGCCTAGCAAGTGATGTAGTGGAGGCAGGAACCATTTATAGCTTTATGACGAGGTATGACAAAGCTCAGGAAGCAGAGAGAGAGAGGACCTAGTAGCGATCAGTGAAGAGGTGGGGCCAGGAGCTGAATCTCGACCCTTGCAACCACAATTAGGTGAGTACATACACACATGAGTACAAGCACTCACACATATGAGTACACATACACACACACGCACACACACACACATACATACACACACGCGCACACACGCACACACACACATACATACACACACGCGCACACACACGCACACACACATGCACACACGCACACACATACATACACACACGCGCACACACATATACACACACCTGCAACTTCAACTAGGTGAGTACAACTAGGTGAGTACACGCACACGCGCGCGCGCGCGCGCACACACACACACACACACACACACACACACACACACACACACACACACACACACACACACACACACACACACCACACACACATGGGGTGGCGTGATCGCATTTTCCTGGACTGCAGGAAGGCCTTCGACACAGTCCCTCACAAGACATTAGTGCAGAAGCTGGAGGATCAGGCGCACATAACAGGAAGGGCACTGTAATGGATCAGAGAATACCTGACTGGGAGGCAACAACGAGTCATAGTACGTACGTGATGAGGTATCACAGTGGGTGCCTGTGACGAAGGGATAGACTCTGAAGTGTCCCTGTTCGCAGATGATGTGAAGTTAATGGGAAGGATTAAATCGGATGAGGATCAGGCAGGACTACAAAGAGACCTGGACAAACTGGACACGTGGTCCAGCAACTGGCTTCTCGAATTCAACCCTACCAAATGCAAAGTCATGATTGGGGAAGGGCAAAGAAGACCGCAGACAGAGTATAGGCTAAGTGGACAAACACTGCAAACCTCACTCAAGGAGAAAGATCTTGGGGTGACCATAAGACCGAGCACGTCTCCGGAGGCACACATCAACCAAATAACCGCTGCAGCATATGGGCGCCTGGCAAATTCAAGACACTGTACACTGTGTACGTCAGGCCCATACTGGAGTATGCAGCACCAGTTTGGAACCCACACCTGGTCAAGCACGTCAAGAAATTAGAGAAAGTACAAAGGTTTGCGACAAGGCTAGTTCCGGAGCTCAGGGAAATATCCTACGAAGAAAGGTTGAAGAAAATCGGACTGACGACACTGGAGGACAGGAAGGTCAGGGGAGACATGATAACGACATACAAAATACTGTGTGGAATAGACAAGGTGGACAGAGACAGGATGCTCCAGATAGGGGACACAGCAACAAGGGGTCACAATTGGAAGCTGAAGACTCAGACGAGTCACAGGGATGTTAGGAAGAACTTCTTCAGTCACAGAGTCGTCAGGAAGTGAAATAGCCAAGTGATGTAGTGAAGGCAGGAACCATACATAGCTTCAAACGAGGTATGGCAAAGCTCAGGAAGCAGAGAGAAAACCTAGTAATAATCAGTGAAGAGGCACGGCCAGGAGCTGAATCTCGACCACTGCAACCACAATTAAGGTGAGTACACACACACACACACACATGGTAATACTTTATTTACAGCCACGGAAGGAAGCCATGTCTCAAATCTGAGACATACTGTGTTGGTCCAGATGGGGGCCCCAAGCATAGTTCTTATCGCATAGTTTTGTACGACCTCCATCCTTTGCCTGCTCTGCGGGAAAAGATGAGCTAACGCCGGAGCACCTTAGTCAATGCGCGAGCGCACAGCTTGTATATAGTACAAGCGAAGTACTTCTTTGCTCGCCCCTGCACGGTGCCTCGTCATGGCTCTCATGGCGTTGAGTCTGAGTAGAGCACGGGATCTGACATACTCGGCCTGTTTCTGAAAAGTTAGCTTTTTATCAATGTAGATTCCCAAGTATAGGTAGGAGCCTGTCCACTCAAGTTCTATATCCGGAATGCGTAATCTATTCACAGGATCTGGTCCCTTGATTTGAGATTTCTCGTCGGAGATCTTGAGGCCCAGTTCCTTGCAACACTGCGTTATTAAGACCAAAGCTCTCTGGGCCTCTCTCTCCAAATCGCCTTTCCCATTCACTACGAGTGCAAGATCATCAACATAGCTGAGTAGCTGCGTACCACTATGAAAGGGAAGGCTCACAAGTTCCTCATAAGGACGTAAAAACAGGGTAGGACTGAGCACAACTCCTTGTGGCGTGCCGTTTTCCAGGATTTAAAGGAAGAGTAGTGTCCCTGAAAGCTGACACAGGCCTGCCTGTCCCTAAGATAGGACTCTATCCAGGCCAGGAGGCGTCCTTTGATCCCTTTCCTAGCTATTATTACTAGAATTGTTGTGGGGCTGGCTAGCTCAAATGCCTTCTCGAGGTCGAGGTAGACGAAGATACTAGGTTTCTTGTTACTATCAGCAATCTGGCTTAGTAGGGTGATTATGCACTCTGCTGTACCCACTCCTTTGGAGAAGCCAAATATGTGATGATGAGGCAGTCCAAGTTTCCATAGGAGGCGGTTTAACACCATCCTCTCAGCAGTCTTGACTAAACAGCTGGTCAGCGATATGGGTCTCATACTGCCTGGGTCCTTGGGCTTTGGAATTGGTACAATGGTAGCCTTCTTCCAAGCTGCTGGGAGTGTCCCGGCTCTCCCTGACTTATTTATGATGTTTAGTATGGCCTCCCATCCACTCTGACCGGCCCGTGTAATCATGGAGTACGTGACACCATCGATGCCTGGGGCAGTGTCACCTGTGTTCTTAATGACACGTCGGAGTTCCAAGTACCTGAGGTCTTCATCAGTCATATCTTCAGACGCACATGCAGCTTGTATCTTTAACTGGCGCTGTGGCAGAAGCTCCGTCTGTATATTTCGAATGTCCTTTGGGCTGTAGAAGTGGCTTATATACTCTAGTCAGGTAAGGCGAAGCAGGAGGCGGGGTCATAGTGGTACCATCCACTAGTTGAAATAGGTCTTCGTCCAAAGGTTGGACAAGGTTGAAGAATTCTTTGTATCAAGATTCCATGATGTTGCAGTGTCTGACAGATGTGATAAATGGTTTAAAACCAACAAGTTGAAGATTGAGACACTTATGCAACATATGGGAATATTTATTGAGCACATCGACTCCAGGCTGAGGGACTGATTACCTCAAACTCCTCCTCTCCTTACACCCTTCTGATTTGTATTGGACTGATGAAGCCCCCTCACCTAATTGTGGTTGCAGGAGTCGAGACTCAGCTCCTGGCCCAGCCTTTTCACTGATCGCTACTAGGTCCTCCCTCTCTCTGCTTCCTGAGCTTTGTCATACCTCGTCTTAAAGCTATGTATGGTCCCTGCCTCCACTACATCACTTGCTAGGCTATTCCACTTCCTGACGACTCTATTACTGAAGAAATACTTCCTAAATCCCTGTGACTCGTTTCAGTCTTCAGCTTCCAATTGTGACCCCTGGTTTCTGTGTCCCCTCTCTGGAACATCCTGTCTCTGTCCACCTTATCTATTCCACGCAGCATTTTGTATGTCGTTATCATGTCTCCCCTGACCCTTCTGTCCTCCAGTGTCGTCAGTACGATTTCCTTCAACCTTTCTTCGTAGGATATTTCCCTGAGCTCAGGAACTAGCCTTGTTGCAAACCTTTGTACTTTCTCTAATTTTTTGACGTGCTTGATCAAGTGTGGGTTCCAAACAGGTACTGCATACTCCAGTATGGGCCTGACGTACAGTGTACAGTGTCTTGAACGATTCCTTACTAAGTTATCGGAACGCTATTCTCAGGTTTGCCAGGCGCCCATATGCTGCAGCAGTTATCTGTTTGATGTGTGCGCCTCCGGAAACATGCTCGGTGTTATGGTCACCCCAATATCTTTCTCCTTGAGCGAGGTTTGCAGTCTTTGTCCACTTAGCCTATACTCTGTCTGCGGTCTTTTTTGCCCTTCTCTGATCTTCATGACTTTGCATTTGGCAGGGTTGAATTCGAGAAGCCAGTTGCTGGACCACGTGCGTGTGTGTGTGTGTGTGTATATGTGTGTGTGTGTGTGTGTGTGTATACGTGTGTGTGTGTGTGTGTATATGTGTGTGTGTGTGTGCGCGTGTGTGTGTGTATATATGTGTGTGTGTGTGTGTGTGTGTGCGCGTGTGCGTGTACTCACCTAGTTGTACTCACCTAGTTGAAATTGCAGGGGTCGAGTCCAAGCTCCTGGCCCCGCCTCTTCACTGGTCGCTCTCCCTGAACCGTGAGCTTTATCATACCTCTCCTTAAAGCTATGTATGGATCCTGCCTCCACTACATCGCTTCCCAAACTATTCCACTTCCTGACTACTCTGTGGCTGAAGAAATACTTCTTAACATCCCTGTGATTCATCTGTGTCTTCAACTTCCAACTGTGTCCCCATGCTGTTGTGTCCCATCTCTGGAACATCCTGTCTTTGTCTACCTTGTGTGTGTGTGTGAGAGCGTGAGTGTGTGTGTGCGCGCGCGCGCGTGCTCGCTCGCGTGCAGGCCTTCTTGTGTGAAGTTTAGTTAAATATCATTATTACGCACCTCATAC